AATTTTCGAAGCTCGACAAAAGTTTTGTTTCAGCACGGCAAGTTTGTTAGTTAAAAGGGATGAGAGAAAATTACTGGGAATCGGGGTGCTGCCAGTTCATCAGAGTATTTTCATTACAGCTGGCGACGAAGTTTCGTTACTTTTTTGTTTGTTCTCATTTCCATTCACAGTTTGTTTGCTTTGCCAATTATGAACTCGTCTGCGGGGGCGGTGAAATGCGGGTAGTGATATATTTGCATACATTTGATTGCCAATTTTCGTGCCATTCCATTGCCAACAAACTAGCAGGGCTTATGGCGGAATTAAAGTGTTTTATGGTATTGCATTTTTGGCTGCTAGTTTATAAATAGAGCGTTTGATATCCATACACATTTGGGTTCCTGTCCGAGCAATCCCTGGATATTTATTTTCTTGCTACAGCTATTTCTCTTGATTTCCCTGATACATTTCAACTGGAAAATCCCCGACAATCCTATCGAGCAATTGCAGAGGCTGCATCGGCATTCCAGCCGCCTCAAATTATTCTCCCCAGCGGCAAGTGCTGCACTCTTTATTTATTTGAGTGGCCATCAAGGCATCTTGAGTCTGCCCGAGAAAGCAGCCAAAAAGGGGGAAAGATGGATGTTATCCCCTGGTATGCCTGCTCGACGGATCTTCGTCCATTAGTGGCCGCCTGCTAATGGACGTTAATAAGGCGTTAAATGGCCTAATTGCCGATTATGGCCCTCAGACCAGGCCGATAAGGTACCGGAGGGAGAAACTAGCACAATATTTTGCAAGCCCCAGTACTCAGTACCCAAGTACCAAGCCTCCTTTCAATACGTTGTGCACTATACAAAATTAAGTTTACCATTTTTTATTTAAAAATATGGATAATATATATGAATATTCATAAATTTAATAAATAAATTAAATTTACAAATAACTTAATACTGTGAGTTGATTTTGGTCCTTCTATAATACAAATAGAGATTAAACAGTGGCAATGTCACACTGTAAACAGCTATTTTTTGTAGTTTTTGGAATATATCGTCTAGAACGAACAGGTCGAAGCAGGTTAGTTTTTTGTGTCATGCTAAATAAAAGTGAAAATCTTAGACTGATTTTTAGTAGGAGTTTCATTGAAGCCTAAAGTTTAATAAGGGTACCACTAAACCTAAAAGAAAACTGTATTAAATTGTAAAGATCTGATCCTGACACACTGTGTATTCATAACCAACTAGATTGTCAAGGTGGGATGGCTGATCAAAATGAGTTAAAACGCAGTTTTGAAGACGAGGATTCCAGCGATTTCGGACCTCCCAAAAAGCGTTTCAGGGACATGCACCTCCATGAAGATGCCGATAGCATTAGTAGCATCCCTCTCTTGGCCAGCGAAGAATCTCAGGGATCGGGAGACTCGGATTCTGGCTACTTCCCGGAACTGGGACCCCATGAGAACCTCTACTACTTACAGAACAAGCTACTCTTCGATTTGCATGTTGAGCGGGAGCACAGAAAACATAATTTATAATTAATATGTCTTAGAAATAGCTATTAATAAATTTATAGAGATTGCGACGATTGTAAAATAATCTGGTCCTGAGTGCTAAAATATAATCTAGAGTTAATCCTAGACAGTCTCAATGAAATTTTCCCCTGTGTAGATTACTTCGAGGGGCCACAAAAGTGAGCTATGGCCTGGCCGGCAGCTTTATCCTTAAAGCCAAGTTAAGGCAGCTTCGGCCTGGCTTTTCCCACCCCCTTTCGTAGTGCAGTGGCAGGCAAATTTTCTGCTGCTCAAAATGCAATGCAGGGCATGCAATATAAGCGATGTGCGAGCCACTGAATGGGAAAGCCAGAGGAACACGAGTCTATAGAAAATTCTCGCCTTGACTCAGGTTTCAAAATGTGTAAAAACTTTACTGGACTTTTACGATACAAGAACTAAAATTAAAGTTACAGTTTCGCCATGATCATTTGAGTTTAATATAACTTTGGCTGTGTTTGATATATTTAAAATAGTCGTAAAGACTCCCATGAGTCTTGTTTTATTCCTGTAAGTGCACAGTTCTGTGTGCATTTAATTAAAAATGAGCTGCAATCGATATGTTTCTGGGAAAATAGCTTTAAATTATTTATTTAAAGCGCTGTGTTTCAAGTATAAACAAATTTATAGTGCACCAGTAAAGCACTGCGAATGCAGACCTCATAAACAGCGCTCGAGTGCATTTTCAGAGTCCGCTTTAAAGATTTTTCATGTTTCATTTTTTGGGTGAGTGTTTCCATGTTGTTGTTTTTTTTTGTTGCGCTTTTTCGAAAATATTTCAGTTTTGTTTTTATTTTTTTTGGCAAACTGCCAAATTGTGCGGTGGGCGGACACTTCACAGGACATGGCTGCTATTTCTAGCACTGCTCTCCATTCAATGAGTGGGTGGGTGTTGGTGGGTGGAGGTCACAGACAGGCAGGATATGGACGAAATGGCCAGGGACGCCCGCCGTGAATTGCGACTGCAAATTGGCCTGTCGGTTTTGCGGTGCAATTACATTTAATTTCGGAAACAGTCGCCCCCAAACTATTTTCAGTTCAGTCCGACGGGCCGAATGCAATTAGCACCGATCCATTGTCCTGTCGAGACCGTGTCTTGTCAGGATCTGTCGGTAACAGCATCAATTCTATGCACTGGGAGAAAGACCAAGTTGATATTTAAGTACTAAGATTTCAAAGTGAGTGAAACTTTTATTTCTTGATGAAAGAACTCTTCTTGAAAACGAAGATTAATTCTGAAATAAAAACATATTTAATAGACAAAAACATTTTGAAGAAAAAATTTAGTGAAGTGTATGATAAAAAATAGTTGGGCTACTTAAAGGCGAACCTAAACTAAATTTTATGCATAACGCTACCAATATTTAAAAAACATTTTCCAATATTTCCAAGTGTTCTAAGAATTCAACATGAAAAAACATGTAAATGCATGGGAAGAGGGAGTGGGAGGTACTTCAGTTTCTGGCTCATATTACCGCACACACATCACCCATCACCCCCTTTCCGGCGCCTCTGTTTGCTTAGTTCGGTTTCTCTATTTTTGCATCCTTGGCGAGAACTTTAGCACACAAAGCGTCGGAAAAACGAGAACAACCATTCAAAGTAGCTGTTGTGGCTGGGAAAATAAAGAGATAGCAAAGAGAAACTCACACGATTCCTAGGCCTCCCCCTTTGCAAGGCCCCCGGGGAAAATGTTTTCGAGTGTACCATTTTGGCAACAACAGGCGATGGAAAGTCAAGAGAGAACGAGAGCGAAATAATGCAAATGTGGATTAAGCCAAATGGGTCAGCAATCGAATTTGGATTGCCCGTTTACCAAATGCTAAATTGATGACGAATAGATGTTTAAATCACTTAGAATTGAAAGTGAAGTGTGCCGGTGAAATTTATATAATTTTAAATGATTCGGTTCGAATTATAATAAATTAGATGAATAAATATAGAAATATTTGAGGATTTCCTTGGGCATTAAGAATAAATAAGAATATTTTTAAACAATTATAAATTTGTATTATAAATTTAAAGCAGTAACCAGTTCTACCTTTATTTTTGTAAATGTAAATATTTGATTTAACCATTAGTAAAGATAGCAAACTTCTCATTAAACCACCTTTTAGGTGGTCGCATTGCTGATTTTACTGAAGCAATCCACTCAACCGACTAACAAGTGTCCACAAAGACTTGAAAATGTTCCGCGTTTGTCCTTGCTGGCAGTCGGGAGCCTCGAACTTCTAACCGCCAACCACGAACCGAGTGAGAAGTGGCCTAAACGCCGCTCAGCCATCCATCCACCATCCGCCATTTGCCATCAGCCACCCACTGGTAACCCAGTGAAAACTCAATTCAATTTCCGCCAGCCAGACAGCTGCACATTTCCACTTGAGCACTTGCATTTATCGCCTGTCGAATCGTGCCAGTTTCGCTGGCTTCTGGCTGCCATCCTGGAATCCTGCAGGTCCTGGATCCTAGCCCGACTTTTATCCGCCTATTTGTACGATATCCCCACCTATCCCATGCAGGATGGAAATGCCCGAGCTAGCTGCTTTTATGACTCGTGCAGAGACTCATTTAAATAAGCTGCCAGTTGTGCCTATTTAAACGAATGTGGGCAAACTATCAGGCGAACCATTGAAAGCTGGTGCAGACGGCTAACCCTGTTGCTGTGGTCAAAAGCCAGAACCTCTCAGGTTTTGTTTAGCAGGATATCTAAATGAAACTCTAAAGGATTGTAATATTTAAATTCTCAAAATAAAAAATGAAATTATGAATTGATATTTTTTAAATGTGGTATTTTTTTTTAAGTATAAGAAAATAATTTCGCGCCCTTATAGTCTTTTTAAAACCTTTTTTCTAAAAAAAAGATACAGCCAGAAAATGTGCATTTAATATAAGAAACGGAAAAGAAACAAAAAGATCCCGGTCAGTACCTCTAACTTTCGACTGATTTACGACTGGGAATCATAAATACCATATATCTAGTTTTTTTCCACTATAATAGTCATTTTAACTCGATATCATGGTGCAGAGCCGCAGGCTTTGGGCAAACACAAAGGCAGGAGCCAAGACCCACAAGAAACGCAAGAACAACAATGGCAACAGCCCTTAACTCAACCTCAATGAGCTCCTCTGCCCGCGTCGGTGGCGTATGAGTAACGTGCCCCCGGTGGCGCCGGTTGTGGGTGGATTTATATAGCATAACTCCGGGGGCTACTTGTTGGATCTTCAAATATTTATGAAAAGTGATGCAAGTTTTTACTCTGCAGCACTGCAGTGGCTGACTTTACACAGCACTGAAAGAAAAAATTATTAAATTAAGTTGGTACAAAAACTGCATCATTTAATTTTAGTTACCAGTTAAAAATACTTTCAAGGTGCTGTATTTCAATTTATTTTAAATTACTAAGATAGAAAATATTTTATAATTTTTTTAAAACCATAGTTATTTACTTTTATTCATTTTCCTCCACTGCAGATGCACTCAAATCTGTGGATATTTATTTGGCGCCGGAAACTCTCCTTCCTGCTCGTCGTTTCTGGCCTGGTGCTCCTCGGCCTCTGGACATGGGCCATACTAATCGATACGACAGCCGCCACGCAGCCACCCGCCGCAGTCTCTGCCACTTCTGAGCGCCAACAGCAACAGCAGTCCGCCGGCTACCAGCAGGTGCACATCATCCAGAAGCTGATTGCCCAGGCCAACAGGGTGCTGAGAGCCGATAGACTCAGGGATAACGCCGTTGAGAAGTCGCCTTCGCCAGTCCAGCGCTTGGGCAACGTGCGATTCCTGCGGCCCACGCAGGCCAAGAAGGCTCCGCTGCCCATGTCCGAGAGCTATTTGTTTGAGCAGGAGCGCTTGAAGATCCTCGAGCAGCAGCAGCGCCAAAGGAACGCCGGAATGGAGGAGCTGAACGCGAATGCCGAGGATGAGCGAATGCTCAGTTCGGCCGAGCGACAGACGCAGTACGAGCACGAGCTACAGCGGATGGGAGTGCCGGTGGTGGCCGGGATCGGGCCGGATGGTCCCAGGGCTCCGGCCGAGCGTCTGGTGCATCTGGATCTCAAGGGCGCCCCGCCCAAGCTCAGCTTCCTCAAGCAGCTGCTGCCCGTGCTGCGGGCTCTGGGCGCCACGGGTCTGCTCATCGAGTACGAGGACATGTTCCCCTACAGCGGGGTGCTCCAGCCACTGGCGGCGCACAATGCCTACAAGGAGGATGAACTGAGGGTGAGTCTAGCCCACAACCAAAAAAAAAATCGATATGAAACGTAGGTCAATTTTACCTTATTGAAGATCAATTTTAACTTGATATGAGGCCAGGTAAATTTGATATGGTCGAAAAGGTGAAAACGATATTTCGGTAATATCAATTTTACATTAAAAGGATATCAATTTTTTGAAAAAGCCTAGGGCTACTACTCAACACAACAAAAAGTCGTCCAAAACAAAAAATGTCTTAACTTTCTTTTCATATGAAGTTTTTTGTGTTGGACGACTTTTGGTTGGGTTGAGTACTAGACCTTAAGCGTAAATTTGTTTTTACGATGTTGAATTGATATGATTGCGGATTCGATGATTATAATATCATAGTAATAATAAGTCTTGCAAGAAAAAATTCTAAAAATAACAGTAAAAATTTCCTTAAAAAACTATTTTGAGTTTTTAACGGGTAAAAAAAATATTTAAAAAATTCTTAAGCAGAATGGAAATCCAATATTTTTTGCCAAAGACGCAGTGATTACTTTTTTATAGTGTTCTAGCAATACCTTTCCCATCTTATTAAATCCTTCCTTGTTTCCCTGCAGGACTTTCTGGAGTGCGCTGCCCTCCATGGCTTGAGTGTAATGCCCCTCGTCCAGACCTTCGGGCACATGGAATACGTGCTCAAACTCTCAGGCTTCGAGCAGTTGCGGGAGTTGGCGGAGAGCCCGCAATCGATCTGTCCCAGTCAGCCGCAGAGCATGGCGCTGCTGGAGCAGATGCTCACCCAAGTGATCGAGCTTCACACGCAGTGTTTGGGCCAGGCGACGCCTGCATCCGCCGTTCCCACATCCCCCATTCGGTTCAGCCACATCCACATCGGCTGCGATGAGGTGCAGCGCATGGGCGAGTGCTCCTCGTGCCGCCAGAGGCTGCGTAGTGAGCTCTTCCTCTCGCATGTGGTTAGTCTGGCGCACTTCATCCGCCGCCAGTGGCCCCACTTGGGCGTGGTCATCTGGGACGACCAGCTGCGGTCGATGTCCCTCAGCGAACTGCAGCACTCGCAGGTGGGCAGCTATGTGGAGCCCATGGTGTGGGTCTATGCCAGCGATATCTATCGCTTCATCCAACCGCAACTGTGGGACACCTATGCCAAGGTCTTTCCCAGCGCCTGGACTGCATCCGCTTTCAAGGGAGCCTTTGGCGAGAGTCTGCTGGTGCCGCCGCTGCAGCATCACCTGGAGAACAACATCCGCTGGCTGGCGGTGATTGCCAAGGAGGGCGGACGATTTGCCAAGGGTCTGCGTGGTTTGGCCCTGACCGGTTGGCAGCGGTACGATCACTTCGCCGTGCTCTGCGAACTCCTGCCCGTGGGCATTCCCAGCCTGATGACCTCGCTGTCCACCGTTTCCAAGGGCTACTTCAGCACGAATCCGCGTGACAACGAACTGCTGCGCGTGCTGCAGTGCGTCCACCAGCCGGACAGCCGTCGGTCAGGTCGTCCCTGGCTCGAGTTGCATCCGAATGCCCATCATAGCCAGCTCTTCGCCGTTTGTAACTACCCGGGTCACATGGTCTTCAAGTACGCCCTCCGTTTGTACGACAAGCTGGCCGAGATTGGACTCTATCTGCAGCAGACACGCGACCAGAGCGCCTGGCTTTCGGACTACAATGTGCGGCACAACTTCAGTTCGCCGCTGAGGGTAAGGGAACTGACCGCCAGGACGCCGATGCTGATCGAGGAGCTGCGAATGATGGCGCGGGAGGCACAGCAACTGCTGTGGGAGGTGTACGATGAGTACACGGTGACGGAGTTCGTGGAGCAGCACATTTATCCCACTATCGAGGCACTGCAGCGACAGTTGGCCAGAGCGGAACTGCTGCTCCAGAGGCGCACTTGGCCGCAGAGGCCACTGCCGCTGCCTCTGAAAGTGCAGGAGGACATGGGACTGGTGACGCATCAGCAGCAGCCATGAAAAGTATGTAAATCCATAATATGAATGGATTCAATAAATTATTTTGAATTTTTAGTTTAATAAGAATGAATTAATTACAATTTTGAGTTTAATAAAATTGAATGAATGAATGGCATGAATTCCGAAATAATTCAAACGACAATTTCTTTTGAAGAAGAAAGGCCCATAATTTTGTAATAAAATCTGCCTGAATTTTATTTTCTAAGCAGTTAACATTGATTTGTTAAAAATTTTCCACTTTTTGTTCTCAAAAGAAAGCACCAAAAAAATCTGGCAAGTTCAAATAATGTATAAAAATTATTCATTCATTCATTCAATTCAATTCATTTCAATTTTATTTCACATAGAATTGAATTAAACAAATCAGAAATTTCATGGCATACTATGATAAAACAAAAGGGCTCTAATCCATATATCCTTTCTAAAATCAAAATCTTACATTTTATCTTATACTTTTAGACCAACTTTGAAGCCAAGTTTTAATTGGCCTGGGCCCAGATATGAGTTAATTTGCTTTAATGGACTGATCCCAAAATCGGCTGGCAGTTCTGGCTCTGAATCTTAATCTACTCGCATAGTGATGGCGTTCGAAACGCCCAAGCCCGGCACGGCTAATAGGCCAGTATAATTCGAATGTTAACAGCAGCAGCGGCACTTCAAAGCATAAATACATAATGGTAGCATTAGCCACTTGTAAAACTAATAACATCAAATGTTCATTTTTTCTAAACCTACTTTGTAAGCCGAAGCTCAATTATACAAATATACAATTTAATCGTACTGTAATAAAAATAAATCAAAAATCTTTAATTATCGTCTTCCAATCGAACGCATTTTTTACATTTGTAATATTTGGTTAGTTTCTGTTTGACATTCTGTCTCGAATATAGGTAAATTTGGTAACTATATTTAAAGAAGTATGATTTTTACAAGTAGTTTAAAAATATATTCAGGGATTATCACTCGACGACTGAAGCAAAGAGCGGGCACTGCCTCCATTCGTCACTTATGTAAGGGAGAAATGCACGAGGACCTTTGAAGGCCAGTTTCTCCTGGTGGAAATCGCAGCTCGCCTGGTGGCCGTTGAGACTTTTCATTGTCGCACAAAGATATCCGCATGGACATCCGAGTGAATACATTTCCGGCTGACACATATTTCTGTGGGCCTCTAGGCCGCAACTCATCTTCCGTCGGCAGGTAGGACATTGGCCCTTTACCAACGGCTTGAGATCGTAGCGTCCTCTCTTGACATTTCGAGCGATGTGCCCCCACAACCGAATCCATAATTTCCTTTGTATTTCATCCCAGAACTTGGGACCCACCCGAATGGACCGTTTTGGAGGGGATGCCTCCTCAACCACAGGTTGTTGCTGTAGAACCGCTGCCTCACGTTTTCGATTTGTTGGTTTAACTTCATCTTGACTCCGCTGTGCATTGGGTTCCAAATGCTGCTGTTGATGTGGTGCCTCTTGCTGTTGTGATGTAGCAGCCTGGGGATTCAGCTGCTCCTGTTGTTGGGATTCCTCTCCCTGAAGTGCTACAAGAACAGTCTGTTGTTGAGGAGTCCAACTAATTCGAAAATTTATCGGTTTTTTCAGCTGTACGGATGCCTTTTCCTGATGACTTAGTGGTTGTCCCTGCTGTTGGGATGCCTTCACCTGACTTTTTGCAACCGTAGCCACTGGCTGAGCCTTTGAAGGACCCGCTGGTTGTTCTTCAACGTTGTGGTTCGGCTGGCGTTGTGATGCCTTGACTACTGGTGGAGTAATTTGCTGACGAGGTGCAGTGGAAGGCACCCGTTTCGAATTCGATGGACCCACCGCTTGTCCCTGTAGAGCCACTATAACGCTCGGTCTTTCCTGTTGACGGGATCCTTCTTCCTGGCAAGGTGCAAGAAAAGTCATCAGTTGAAGAACTGCTCTCGATCGGAGTTTGAAGTACTTACCCTGATCGGATTGGCCCGTTGTTGAGGTGCTACTCCTTGACGTGGGAGATTACGATGACCAGAATTCCCCGGCTGTTGTTCCTGATGGGATGCCTCTTTCTGGCGTTGTTCAATAGAATCAAGTAGTTGGGACAGCAGTGGATAAACTTGTTGACGAGTTCTCTGCTCCTCTGGTGAAGCCACTTGTTGTTGAGGTGCTCCTTCGTAACGTGATGCACCAGGTGCCACTTGTGGAGGAACCGGTGGAGCAGCAAGTCGCTGCTGGGGAGCAGGAACTTGTTGAGCAATCCGAGGACCAGATCCCCCCGGCGTTTGTTCCTGATGGGATGCCTCTTTCTGGCGTTGTTCAATAGAATCCAGTAGTTGGGACAGCATTGGATAAACTTGCTCCTCCACTTGTTGTTGAGGTGTTTCTCCCCGACGTGGTGCAATAGGTGCAGAAAGAACTTGTTGAGCATTACGAGGACCAGATCCCCCCAGCGTTTTTTCCTGATGGGATGCCTCTTTCTGGCGTTGTTCAATAGAAGCCAGTTGTTGAGACATCTGTGGAGCAACTTCTTGACGAGTTCTCTGCTCCCCTGGTGAAGCCACTTTTTGTTGAGGTGCTCCTTCGTTACGTGGTGCACCGGGTGCCACTTGTGGGGGATCCGGTGGTGCAGCAATTTGCTGTTGAGGATTACGAGGACCTGAACCCCCCCGACTGCTGGTGGGGATGGGAGGGCTCTTGCTGGGGTCGGGCCACTGGTGAAGCAACTTGGTGGCGAATCGGTGGTGCAATGGGAGCCACTTGCGGGGCATTCGGTGGACCAATCTGACGGTTCGGTTGAATAGGAGCAGATGGTGGCACTTGCTGTGGTCGCGAAATATCCTGCTGAGGTGCCACGTTCTGCAGAGGAGGTGAAACTATTATCTTTCTGTGGTGGATCACCGGCTCTGCCAGGATCGAGACAAGACTCACCTGAGATCCTCTTCCATTCTGCTGAGTTCCCTTTTTCTGAAGCAACTTATGGTAGCATTGCAAGACACAATTATGTAAAGGCATTCTTTCTATTCAAAATCTTTACGAAATTTGAAGAAACGCGTGCAATAAGCGCTGAACCTGTCAAATGTCAAATGTGCTTTATAAATTCTGGGAATAAGGGCACACTAGCTACTTGCTTTCGATAACATAACCCATGGGCGTAGTTAACTTTTTTATGGTCAACGTTTTAAAAAATGTTCAATTCTTCAGTACAAAAACAGTACAAAAACAAGGGCTAGTACTCAACCCAACAAAAAGTCGTCCAAAACAAAAATTTCATATGAAACAAAATTTTTTGACGTTGTTATACCCTTGCAGAGGGTATTATGATTTCAGTCAGAAGTTTGCAACGCAGTGAAGGAGACGTTTCCGACCCCATAAAGTATATATATTCTTGATCAGCATCACTAGACGAGTCGATCTAGCCATGTCCGTCTGTCCGTCTGTCCGTCCGTCTGTCCGTCTGTCCGTCTGTCCGTCTGTCCGTCCGTTTCTACGCAAACTAGTCTCTCAGTTTTAAAGCTATCGGGATGAAACTTTCGTAAAAGTCGTATTTCTATTGCAGGTAGTATATATGTCGGAACCAAACGGATCGGACAACTATATCTTATAGCTCGCATAGGAAGGATCAAAAAAAAAACGTAAAAAAATTCTAGCTCCGGTGTTTTTTTAAATTTTACCTTCTACTCTTGGGAACATTTTTTTTATATATTTCTGAATTTCGGTTTTTTTGTTTTTTAAATCGGATCACTATATCATATAGCTGCCATAGGAACGGTCGAAAAATTAAATGGAAATTAATGGGAAAAAAATTATATCTTTGTTGGTTTTTATTACAGTTTCTTCTACTCTGGGATATGACTATTTTGAAATATTTCCGAATTTCGATTTTAATTTTTAAAAGATCGAACTACTATATCATATAGCTGTGATAGAAACGATCGAAAAACAAGAGAGAACGCTATAGTCGGGTTGTTGTCCCGACTATCTAATACCCGTCACTCAGCTAAAGGGAGTGCGAACGCTGTGTCGGGTTGGTGTCCCGACTAATAATCGTAACTCAGCTAAAGGGAGTGCGAGGGAGATAGATGTATAATTTTTGATTGCGTATAACTTTTTAATGAATGATCCGATTTGAAAAATGTCTTCTACATTTCGATAGGTATAAATATACACAACAAAATTGCATTTATACTTCTCGGAAATCTTTAAAGATGTGGGCGCAGGACCCATTTTAAAATCGTTAGTGGGCGATTGTGGGCGTTAGAGGGGGCGTGGCGCTCGGCTAAAATAAACTTGCGCTGCGTAGGAAGCCAAAGAATATGTGTGGAAAATCTCAACCTTCTAGCTTTTGTAGTTTCTGAGATCTCAGCGTTCATACAGACGGACAGACGGACAGACAGACAGACAGACAGACAGACAGACGGACAGACGGACATGGCTAGATCGACTCGGCTAGTGACCCTGATCAAGAATATATATACTTTATGGGGTCGGAAACGCTTCCTTCTAGCTGTTACATACTTTTGCACGAATCTAGTATACCCTTTTACTCTACGAGTAACGGGTATAATTAATGTGAAATAATAAGAAATTTAACATTTTTGCGATTTGTAAATTAATAGAATGATCTGCAAGGGTATATAAGCTTCGGCTTGCCGAAGCTAGCTTCCCTTCTTGTTTTTTATATGAAGTTTTTTGTTTTGGACGACTTTTTGTTGGGTTGAGTACTAAGCCTTACTAATTGTGTATACTTAATTATCTGCAAACACTCTATGAAACAAAATAATTTTTTTTTGAGACATTTTTACTGAATTTATTCCCTTATTTATGTTATATTATATACAATTTTCATTAATTTTTTAATTATAATTCCAAGGTCCAAGTATACGGCGCTTTAAAATACCCTGTTTGTAATAAATTAAACATGTTATACGTGTCACATTTAAATGTAACGCCACTTACGTAATACCACTACGTTACGTAAGGCTTTTTAAAAAACCTTAACGCAGGGCTGCAACTGCATCGTAAGGAATAACGGAACAAAGCCTCCAAAAAGGTAAGGACTTTTGTGTAAATATTTTAACGTTAATATTGCCTGCATAAAGTAAAGTAGAACTATATCTAAATATTAAAATTGCAAATTAAAAATAAACTAAATATTAGCGTTCTCCTAGGTATGGTAAGTTTACAATTTTCTCGTGAGTACAAAAAGCACGAACAGGACGAAAAGCACGAAAAGGATACGGCAAGAGAAGAAGAAGAAGCACGTAGCAGAGCGAAAAGAAACACATGTTCGCGCAAAATCGATGAATAAACTTTAAAGGGGAAAACTGAAAACGGAAAAGTGCAGCGTGCTCAACTACTAATTAAAATACATCATACATTGTTTCCGAAATATTACGAAGAAAGGTGTCCTGTAAGAGCCAGGACTCCTGAGAAAATGGGTATTACGGAAACTGCAGCCACAACCACAACAACAACCGGAATGGGAGCGGCAAATGCCGTGGAGGGCAAACAAATCCTTTCGCTCGAGGCGTTCCAGGACATCTTCAAGCGCGTGGAACCGGAAGTGCAGATCGATGCCTTTGAGGTGAGGACATTGCGGGGGCGTTTAACTTTCGGTTATGACATCACTTTCACCCCATCTCCCCCTTCGCAGCTTACCCAGGGCTCCGACCGGGGTGACAACTATACGGCCGCCTTGTATCGCATAAAGCTCACCGGAACTCGACGGAGTCTCAAGTGGGAACAGAACGTCATCTGCAAGGTGATGCCGGAGAGCCTGGTCGCCCGGGAGGCCTACAAGAGCGACAAGCTCTTCCGGTGAGTGATTATCCTTTCTTAATATTATCCCTAATAGTTCCTTACACATCCTACAGCAACGAGGTGGAGTTCTACACCACCATCATGCCGGAGCTGCTCAAGTTCCAGGCCAGCAAAACGGACCAGGGTGCTCCTGTGTTCGATGCCATCCCCAAATGCTATTCGGCCAGGCATGATCTCCTCATAATGGGTAATATTTCTTTATTGATTTGTGTGGCTCAAAATTATGCAATCCTCATTTCTTATTAGTTTAAAATTAAATATTTTAATTTATTTTTGTTTAGAAGTACATAAATCTTTAAGTCCATTTTGAATAGATTAAATTAAGTTAAATGAATTAGTCAATTAATTGTAATATTTTCTCAGCGTCCTATTTTTTTTAAGAAGTAAAATAAAGTTATTTCCTGAATTCTGATTAAAATGTGGCACCTAATCTTGAATTTTCCATTTTGAATAGATTAAATTAAGTTAAATGAATTAGTCAATTTATTGTGATATTTTCTTAGCGTCCAATTAAAGGAATATGTTTAAAGAACGTAATATCCTGAATTCTGTTCAAAATGTGGTAACTAATTTCGGATTTTATGCAGGGAACCTTCGCAATCCTTAATCTTTATTTGTTTTAAATATATTTACTTTTTTAAATTTATATTAAATTTATTATATTAATTACTTCAATTTAGAAGTATTATTGTTAACTACTTCAATTAATTTAATTCTAATATTGTCTTAACTTATTTTTTTTTAAACAAATATTTTTTTTTAAAAGGTGTACGATAAAATCACTTAATATAAATAACTTCCCTGAATTCTATTAAAACTGTGTAAACCAATCTTGGATTTTCCACAGAGGACCTTCGCAATCCTTAATCTTTATTGGTTCAAATATATATATTTTTTTAAATTTATATTAAATTTATTATATTAACTACAAGTTGTCAACTACTTCAATTTATAAGTACATAAATCTTAAACTCTACTTTTAATAGATTAAATCAAATTAATTATAGTATTGTCATAGCATGCAAATATTTTTTTTAAAAAGGTGTACTATTAAATCACTTAATATAAATAACTTCCCTGAATTCTGATAACTAATTTTGGTTATTTTCCGCAGAGGACCTTCGCGAACGTGGCTTCCAGATGTCCGACCGCCACAAAGGCCTCAGTCTGGAGGAGACGCAGTCCGTCCTGCTGCAGGTGGCCCAGCTGCACGGCCTCAGTTTGGCTTATAAATTCGAGAATCCGCTGGAGTTTAGCAAGCTGTGCAGCGTAATAAGCGAGGGCATCTTCTGCACGGCCAACACGAGTTGGTATCGAAACTACTACGAGCGCCTAACCAAGAACGCCATTCAGATGGTGTCCGAAGTGCTGCCGGCGGACTCCAAATATGTCCTGGCCATTAGCAATTTTGCCGAGAGCTCCTCCTTCTTCGCCCGAATGGTGCAGTTGGCCAGCGCTGAGTCGCCGCTTTCGGCCATTTGCCACGGAGACTGTTGGGTGAACAATTTTCTGTACCACTACGATCCGGAGGATCCGCAAAGGGTACTCGAAGTGGCCCTGCTCGACTTCCAGCTGATACGCTACAGCTCCATTGCCCTGGACATTGCCAATCTGATATACTGCTGCACCACCAAGGAGATGCGGGATGCCCAGCTGCAGACTCTGCTCAAGACCTACACAGAGGAGCTCTTCCGATGGCTGCAAATCCTGTGCACAAACCTGCCGGACCACTGCGATACCTTGGAGAAGCTGCAGGATCTGTAAGAGAATTATTGTGATTATGATATGCGATATATGATATTTATTTTCACCTTTTAGTTTTGCCGAGGAGCTGAAGACCTACGGACGCTTTGCTCTGGGCCTGGCCATGGATATCCTTCCCATTAGCACCTGCTCCTCGGAGGATGCCCCGGATATGTACTTGAAACGCAGCGACGATCACGAGGAGGATGTGGGCGCGCCCACTCTCAACTTTCCACCTAACGACCTGTGCCGCCAGAAGATGTCCGAGATAGTCATCGATATGGTGGATCGGGACATGCTCTAGGCCGGAATGCTGTGGAAATGGAAAGCTTGCTGTCTGCCCAAAACACCAATTACCAATAATATACTAGCTCAGATAGCCTGCTCCAGTTGATTCTCACTTGACCCTTAGTTATATGCAAGTTAGTAAATATTACCATTAGCTTAGCCAGACTTTGTACGTTTAGGGTACCACCGCTATCTTTATGTTATGTTTCTATATAGCAGGAAATTCCTGGGCCCTGTGTAGTCAGAGTTAACACTTGCCCGTACGATAAATCTATTCTTTTGTAAGTTTTTAATAATTTCAGCAAACCAAAAAATGCCAAAATAGTTTTTAATTATAATTTCCCTTTTATTATGTTTCCTATATTCAATTTCTAATCCCCGTTTTCGAATTACGAACGAACTATGCAAAATACGTTAATATTATCGAAATGGAATTGGGCACAGGGCCTTAAAATTCAACAGAATTTAGCCGTAGCTAAAATGAACAATATATTTGTTGAACTTAGCTCAAAGAACCCAGACAATAGGAAAAAAGCTTGTCTAGGCGTATTGTGTTTTTCTAAAGTATTCTTTACACAAAGTAATAAACTATAAATGAAGGGTATTGCCTTGCCTTAATAGTTAATAGTCCGCCTTGGCCGTCCACGTGGCCTTGTTGCCCATGACGCCCTTGTCGCAGTTGTCGCGCAGGAATCTCAGGCCAGCTTCGATGGAACGCTCGAGTTCGGCCTGCGACTTGGGACGTTTCGCTGGTGGTGGTGGAGCGGAGTCATTTAAACCAGGAGGCGGGGGAATAGCAGCACCACGAGTGGATGTGCTGGGTTCTCCAACGTTAGTGTCATTATTGTAACTGCTATAGTTGCGCCGCTGGAACTTCTTCTCCTGCCTGGTGCTATGGAAGTTGTGGAACTCCGGCTCCTGGTTGTTATGCCACTCGGAAGACGGCGGCGGTGGCATGCTGCTGAAGTTGCTGCGCTTGAGGGGAACCGCCTCTGGCATGGGAGCAAACTCCGTGTGCCGCTTTGCCCGCTGCTTCTCGTTCCACTCCTCCTGGGACATGGGCTGCCGTTCGCTTTTGTACCTCCACTCCTCAGGTGTTTCGTCGTCATCTGAGTCCCTTCGCTTGGACACACCGGGCTTGTCTTTATCCCAATCACGTACATGCTCCTTTCGCAGTTCCTCCAGTTCGGCCTCCTCCTTGGCTTTCTTTTTTTCTATGGCTTCCTTCCTTTCCTGCTCCTCGCGCTCTCGTTCTGCGGTTTCTGCCGCTGATTCGTCCTTCTTGCGCTGCTCTTCCTGCTCGTACTCCTCCTTGCTGATCGGTGGCAGGCCGTTGCGTGCTCGAATCCTGTTCTTGGCGGCCAGCACGCGATCGGCTACGAGTCTGTCTCGCTTGGCGCGCATCTCATTCCGCCGCGTTTGCTCCGCTGTCGTGGCCTTGCGGGCCTGCTCCAGTTCCGCCTGCTGCTTCCTGCGCTCCTCCTCGTCCGTGGAGAAGGCATAGTAACCGGCGCCGTGGGTGCGCGCCTCGTCGAAGAAGACGTCCTGGTAATGGACATCGGTCTTTTCCACATTCTCCACCTCCTTGCGCTCCCAGTTCAAGCGCTGCTCGTCGTGCTTGGTCATTGTGGACAGGGCCTCGCTGAAGACGCTCTCCGAGGGCCGTGGTCCAATGTAGGAGTCACCATCGTCTTCGTTGTCGGTATGGTGGCTATTCTCCTGATCGCGACTGCCTTTGGTGTCTATCATCCAGTTGGCCTTGGTCTGATCTATGCGCTCCGGCATGCTCTCAGCCAATTGGCGGTCGCGTCGCTGGGCCTCCTTTAGCTCCTTCCTCAGGCACTTTCTGGTGCGACCCAGGCAATCAATGTACTCCACCTCGTCATCGTCCTGATGATGTTCGTCATCGCTGGAATCCCCGCCGCTGCTGCTACTGCTGCTGCTGCTCAGCCTCTGGCGGGATTCGTACTTCGACTGCGGTTGCTCCTCGTCCGCCTTCTCCTGCTTCTTGCGGTTGAACATCACGAGGCAGTTGTCGTCGGAGTTCAGGGCGCCGCCATTGCGAGTCATCCGGTCGTAGAACTTGCTCTTGGCCTCCAGGACGCGTCGTGACTTGTCAAGCTGCGCCTGGTCCTCCGCCTCGTACACCTTGACGCCATCGCTGCTGCTCCCGCTCACCTTCTTGTAGCCCCGATCCTTGGACTCCTCCTTGTCGCCGCTGCTCTTGGTGGGCCGGAAGTCGGTGGCGGATGACTGCGTCGCCTTGGCCACCCTGACCTCATGCTGTTTCCTTAGGAGTTCCGCCTTCAGGCTGAGCAGCGAGGATAAATTCACGCTGATGGCTTTGTTTGGGTCGTTCATGGCAAGCGCAATGTAAACTAAAATGGAAAACAGCTGCCGAGGAAGAAGCAGAAAGAAAAAACAGCTGATGCACTGAAATAAAAAAACCTTTAAGTGTCTTCCATATTACGTTTATTAGCTTAACTTATTTATCTACGTTACTCATAAAAATAAATAAAATTAATAACAAAAAATAAAGAACTTAACTTATTTATCTACGATACCTATAAAAATAAATAAAATTAATAACAAAAAATACCTGCTAACTGATTTTTTGCTTCAAATAAAATTAAATTATTAAAGAATTTATTGCCGTGAAATTGTATAACTTGGATAGTTATACAATCCATTATCATGGTAATTAATTATTAAATTAAATAAATAACAAGTTATCATTATTATTCTTTCTTTTTTTCTGTGTAGCTCAAGCGCCTAACGAACGGTAACACTGAGCAAGGCGCCAAGAAGAAGAAGAAACGTGTTTATTTACCTTTTGGAATGTCGAACTCTGGAGAGGATTTCCAGGTGGTTACGCGCAAGAAATGGATGGCCCGGAAGTGCCTTAGGCGGCGGGATCGCCACAAATCCGAGAGCGATTACCTAATCGACTGTCCAGACGTGAATGTGGAGAAATTTCAGCCGTGAGCATGTGATGATTATCAGGGAAACCATTCCTAAACATAAAACCACTTTCAGGCGACTAGAGAATTTGTGCACGGAGATGCGTCAGAGCGACTACTTCCTGGTGGCCATTGAGGCACTGCAACAGCAGGTGGAAGGCCTTAAGAAGCCGCTGGAACGGATTGTCTGCCTGGGACTGGGACCATTCTCCCGCACCTACCATGCCCTTCATCAGGCGGCCTTTGTGATTGAACTGCAGCGGCACCACAAGATCAAGGAGGCCCTCTACTTCGATCCCGTCTTTAGGGACAGCGAAAAGGAACTAATCCGGCTGTTCGACGGCTGCATAATGAGCGAGGACTGTGCGGGCAAACACGAGGCGACAGTGCCCACGCTCTATTATCTGCCACACTGTCCCTACGCCCTGATGCACAACATCTTGTGGTCCAACTGGAAGCGGGAGAGCCTGTCCAATGTTTTACTCATCTCGAACAGCTTCGAAATGCTTACGATGACGCCGAAAAGCCAGGATGACCACATAACACGGGTAGTCGAACATTGCAGAGAGACGCCGCTGGAGGACGACTACGAGCACCACAACGTATTCAATGACTTGTCGTTGCACACTTTCCCACCGGAATCCCTGCCATCTACCGATGATGAAGCTTTTTGGACACGATGCGCGCCCTTGAAGGTAAACGAGGATGAGCTGATCGTGGAAACGGAGGCGAACTTTGCCGCCCTGAAGTTGGAAACGGAATGATTAAAGTTTATGTATGGGCGCAGCAATAAATAATAAATAATACTAATCAATTTCAAAAGGGGATTTCATTTTTGATGCAAATTCTAATAACAAACTATTTACAATTATATATTATAATAGTGGCGCCTATAAATGCTGCATGACCAGCTTATCGGCAGGCTTAACGCCATATTTGTAGACCTTATTGAGGCTTTCGGGAAAGTCGGGCAGTAGATTATTGAAGTTCTCCACGTGATGTGTGTGCTGCTCCGTCCAGATGCCGTCGCCAGTGAAGTGAAACTCTGATTCGATTAGGTAGAGGATGAGGGTGAGGATCTCGTTGTTGCTCAGCGAGTCAAAATCCGCCACTGGCAGCTGGAGTTCTTCTTGGGCATCTGGTGATTGCAAAAGCAGCATCTTTTCCTCAATGCGTTTGCTGTAAATATATTAAAATCAACTAAATTCGATATTATATTCTGATAGCACTCACATGGGATACAAAAGCAAGTGTATGTTGGCAAAAATCTCTTGCAGCTTAAACTTTTTGCTGCGTAGGTACTCCAGGCATTGCTTCACATGCAGCAAAGGTATGTGGCACCAGTTGGGATGGCGGGAGAGCAGATTGCGCAGTACCTGCTTATCTTTGGACAGAACGTTACTCAAGTAGACCACTATATCGCGGCCTTTAGTGCGATCCGAGCCATCTCTGGCAAATCTGCAATGAATATATGGTTAATTGAGCTTTAAGATATTAATAGATTATAATTACTAACTTGGCAAAGGCCTCTGAGCCGCAGGAGAGAATGTGCAGGGAGGCGCATCGAACCCTCAGCTGATTGAGATAATCCAGACGCAGTCGCGCCTTGTTTTGGTAGTGCACCAGTCGCAGTACTCGCGGATTGGTGCCCAGCACCTGGAACTCCTCGATCTCCTGCAGATCCCTGAGTCGCTCCAGCACAGTTTCCGGTCCGAGGGTGAGCACCTCCAGGCAGCGCAGGACGGCATCCTCACTAATCCCAAACGCATGGACATACTGCAGGGTTTGCTTCAAACTATCGCAGGTGGACATCAGAATCTTGGGCCGTCGGAAGCCGATTTCGCGTATGTCCTGCGAATCGATGGTGGGTATCTCGCGCAGGATGCGTCGCACATTATCCGCTTCCGAGTAGAGCAGAAAGCTGTTCTTCCTCAGCCGCTCGGCGGGAAACTTGAGCTCCTGGGTCAGCAGCTCGACGGTGTCCTGGACGGCGCGAAAGCTCTTGTGGCGGATGCGCGAGTAGACGCGCCACAGCTTCTGCAGATCACTGTCGTCCATTTGGAGGCGTTCGCGCAGATAGGCGTTCAGCAGGGATTGCCTTAAGCTCTTTAGCGTGATGCTTTCGCTGTCCAGCTCCCGCAAATCCACCGGCAGGCTGATGTCGGTGAAATACGCCGCCAAACGCTCCGCCACCTTCACATCGAAGGGGATGTAACTGTGGGCCTTGAGCACTTCTATAGGTTTATTGACCACCGTCACATATTTCGCCAGCGTTTGGATGGTCACGTTGTGGAAGCCACACTCCTGCAGGACACTGTGCCGATTGGCCAGCGTGGTGGCTCCGTAGTAGATGATCATGGGCTTGGCTATGATGTCGTCCACGCTGTACTCCAGGGATTTCAGCGTGTCGTAGGAGTTCAACAGGTCCTTGCGCTTCACCGTCTTCAGTTCGGGGTGCTTCTCCAGGGCAGCCGTCCAGGCCCGGTAGTTGCTACCTAAAAGGGCACTTTAGTTATTCCTTAAATTACTGTTTAGGTCCTTATTTACCCAGAGTTTTGGCCAAATAGTTGGCGTTCAGGGGCTCCTCCGCCGGCATCTCAATTGTCGGGGCCTTTGGCAGCTTTGTAGTAGGCTTCTCCTGCTTACCGGTGGTCCTTTTCGAACTGGCCATTCCCCGCGCCAACTGCCCTAGGCTCCGGGCCAGCAGTTGCGCTTGATTCTGGCCGTTGCGCAGCATAATTATAACATTTCCCGAGGCTTTATTTACAACCGACGAGGAAACCTACAAGCGAACATGTAACTGACATTCGGGGTGAATGGCAACTCTCTTCTGTGTGAATGGGTGCCAGTCAGTGATGGCATTTTGAGAACTAATAAATAGCCAATAAATCGGGATAAAATTGAAATAAATTTTATTAGCAGCTTAATTATTAAAATAAAATTTAAAATGAAAATTTTTTTTTTTTTTTTATAAAACTTGGTTTTAAATTCGTAAAAATAGGTTTAAATCAGGTGAGAGTCCAAAAACTATCGATCAAAATCATTAATTTAGTCGATAGTGTGGGTCATGTTTTCACATCTCTAACCCAGTAGCGCATTTACACGTGCGCTTGATTTTTAGTTATTGTTTCGCTTAGTTTTTAATTAAGAAGACGCTTAAATATGTCGCTTTTACGCATCAGGTAAGCAGTAGACCTCAAACAAGTGAAATACCATAAAATACAGCCATATGTTCTTCCAGGAAACCCAAAACCCGCAAGGGAAAAAAGGTGCTGCTGGCCAGGGAGCCGCAACTGATTGAGTCCGCCCGCACAATGCTCTTTTTGGACGGACGGAAGTGCGGTGGCAACGTGAAGCTGTGCATGAAGGATCTGCAGACGCTGAAGAAGCCGCTGGTGAAGATTCTCAACCGCAAGAACGACATTACACCCTTTGACGATCCCTCCTCACTGGAGTTGTAAGTTGAGCTAAAAACCTAGCCTAAAGTTATGTTTCTTGTTTGTAAACATCAATCAAATCCTCAGCTTAACCATGAAGAACGATGCCGCCCTGTTCTCGTTTGGTTCTACGTCTAAGAAACGCCCCGACAACATCATCCTGGGCAGGATCTTCGAGAACGAGGTGCTGGACATGTTTGAGCTGGGCATTAAGCGGTACCAGGCCATTTCCGAGTTCAAGAACGAGAAGATCGGCGCCTGCGTGAAGCCCTGCCTGGTATTCAACGGTCCCAAATGGGCGCAGACCGAGGAACTGAGGCGCCTACGCAACCTGTTCATCGACACTTTCCAGCGCGAGAAGGTGGACTCGATTCGCCTGCAGGGCATCGAGCATGTGCTCAGCTTCACCGTCACCGATGACATGAACATCCTGATGCGCTCCTACCGGATTCTGTTGAAGAAGTCCGGCCAGCGGACGCCGCGCATCGAGCTGGAGGAGATCGGACCGTCTTGCGACTTTGCCATTCGTCGCACCAAGATCGCCAGCGAGGATCTGTACAAGCAGTCGCGTAAGCAGCCCAAGCAGCTGAAGGTGGGCAAGAAGAAGAACATCAGCACCGACGCCCTGGGCAACACCAAGGGACGCGTCCATCTGGGCAAGCAGCAGACGGGCTCCATTCAAACGCGTCGCGTCAAGGCGCTGCGCAAGACGCCCGAGGAGAAGAAGGACACGCGTCAGCGCAAGAAGGTTGCCCTCAAGGCAGCCGCCGCCGAAGCCCTGGCAAATGCGAAGGCAAATCCATTCTCTAGTTAGTTTTAGTTTTAATAAATTGGTCCTGATTAAAATAGCGTTAACAAGTGTATCGTATCAGTGAATGCCATCGACTATGTTGCGAATGCGTCGCGTCTTGGACTCCGCCAGGGCATCCTCCAGCGTTTTGATCATGTGCACCAGGCTGCTGACATCGGTCTGCACCAGCAAATCCTTGCGATGCAGTCGCTCGTCCTCCTGCATGGCCTGCAGCTCCTGTTCGCTGCGTCCGGACGCATCTATCGTTAAAAGTTCGCGGTTCTCGTTCTTCGGCTCGGTGTGCAGGTACAGCTTCATGGTGACCACCACTTGGCACTGCTCCAGGAGACTCCTGGATGCGGTGCGCACCTCCAGTCGCCAGTCCAGGTTGACCAGTCGATGGGCACGTATGTTGGCCGACTTGATGGAGCCCTCCACAAAGTTTCGCTTGCTGGTGACAAACTGCTCGAGGATCTCGAGCACCTCCTCACCGAGATCGGGGAATGTCTGGCGCAGAGTGGCCTGCATGTTGACCGTACTACTTCCTACCCGTGTGGTTACGCTGATCAGCAGCGATATCAGTGCCTCCACCGCCTGCTGAACGGCCTCTGGTCCCTGGGAATCCGAGTACTTCTTGGCCAGCGCCTCGTAGCGATCGGGATTGGGCCCATTTATCAGGTAATCGAAGGCGGATTTGCACAGCTCCACTACATCGCTAGCGGGTCGCTGGAGGAGGCTCAAATGGTCGCGTTGTTGCTGAGTTAATCGCAGAGATGACATCTTATTGATTCGGTTTTGGAGTTACCTAGAAGTAAACAAACTATTAAATAGTAGTTAATAGGCAGTTAATGTGTGTATGAAAGTTTACCTTTACTAGTTTAAATTAATGGCTACTTGAGACTCCCTTTTCATGTCTGAACTTCAACTGTAAGTGACACATTTTTATAAATTAATAAACATAAACAATCAGTGGGTGGGTTTTCAACTCACCTCATCCTGTTATAACTTCACATTCAAGATGAGCAGCCCCATGAACGTTTTATGCTTAACTATACTATAGACTTTTGATTATATTCCTTAGAAACACTTAGTTTTTGGCTGATAAAATAAACATTTATAGGTAAAAACAAAAATAAATAAATGTCTGCGGCTCAATTAAAGTCTCTGCAGCTAAGTTGGCAGCTCCCTTTGATAACCATTTATTGTTATCGATAAATGCAACATCAAATTCAAATTTTAAATAGCTTATTTCATTTTTAAAGTTAACAACTTTAGAAAGAATAGAAAATGCCTTTGAAACACTAAAAAATCATAAAATTACGAAGATAGATTAATAAACACAACCCCTTCTTGTAAACAACAAATATCAAACCGCAGCTTTTCGTTCAAATAAAAGCTTCTTGAAAAGCAACCCTGTTCACCCCCGCACCCCGAAGACAACAACAACAACATTGTGGATTCGCAAATCTGTTTCATTGGCCCGTGGGATTTTGCTGGCAGAGCTGCTCTCGTTTAATTGTTTTAACCAATACATTTTGTACGAAATAACCTTGCAAATATGCTGAAGCAAGTAACGAAGCAATTGGCCCTGCAGGGAGTGCGCACCTTCTCGGTTGGCCAGCAGGTGAGGATCGGTGTAAAACGAAATCCCGGCTAGAATCGGTCTCTATTCCGCTGCAACTGTTTACGTAACAGGCGGATGATATGGTGCATCTCGTACCACCAATAATTATGCGAAAAAAAACCTGACATAACACCATGATTTCAAGTACTTAACGAGCTTTATGTTTTGCATTGCCGATCCGATATAGAACAACTACAAGGTGACCGTTTGCGGTGCCGCTGGAGGAATTGGCCAGCCGCTGTCGCTGCTCCTCAAGCAGAATCCCCTGGTCACCGACTTGGCCCTGTACGACATTGTCCACACACCCGGTGTGGCCGCCGATCTGTCGCACATCGACACCAAGAGCAAGACCGCCGGATTCATCGGTGCCGACCAGCTGGGCGATTCCCTGAAGGGTGAGTAGAGGGCAGGGGCCGCGAGTGAGGTTATGTGATGAGTGGATACGAGTGGAAAATTTGCTTGCCTTTGGGAGGGGGTGAAACGGTGAAGGGGGGATAAACCACGGTTATCACTCATGATGTACACTAAACTTGAAATTTATAACCCTATTCCAAAGTCTTGTGATCCTATAATTTTAAGTCTTTATAGATGATTGCATTGTAAAAGCATTTAATCACTTAGATTAGCTATTTTATTTACGAATTTAAAAAAAAAAAACTTGGTAAAATCAACTTTTAAAATTGTCAATCACAATCACCACAAAAAATAGTCAATTCTACTAAGTAAATAGTTACTTTCACATCAACAAAAACACACAATTAGCAAAGTAGACATGGAAAACTTAACATTTAAAAAAAAAAATTTTATTTTTATTTTAAATAAAAAATAAGGATATTAAAAAACTAAATGTACAAAAAACTTAATTTCTAATTCTTCAATTTAGATAAATTATGTTTAAAAAAAAACTACTTTTACATAAATTCAGAACTTTTTCATGTGATTTGCATGAACCACATTTTATGCTCTGAGATAAGATAAGCAGCGAAGAATATATTCCCAGATAGCAGCCACTTTGAAGCCGTAGAAAGGTTATTGGTATTTATAACGACGTAATCAGAAGCGGCTACTTATCAGTGCAGTAGCCACGGGGATTGAACCCATAAAAGATCAAAGCTCAAAGTGGCTGAGAGCATTTAATTACAAATATATTGAACAATTTCCTACCTTTTGCAGGATCCGATGTTGTGGTCATTCCCGCTGGTGTGCCCCGCAAGCCCGGCATGACCCGCGATGACCTGTTCAACGTGAACGCCGGCATCATCAAGGACATCTCGAACTCCATTGCCAAGAACTGCCCCAAGGCCCTGGTGGCCATCATCACCAATCCGGTGAACACCTGCGTGCCCATCGCTGCCGAGATCCTGAAGAAGGTATGCATAGCATGGGATATGAGTTGCCTGGAGCTTTAATTTTTATACTATTTTTATAACCAGGCTGGTGTCTACGATCCCAAGCGTCTGTTCGGTGTCTCCACCTTGGATGTGGTGCGTGCCCGCGCCTTCATCGGCCATGCTTTGGGCGTGGATCCCCAGAGCGTGCAGATCCCCGTGATCGGTGGCCACTCCGGCGTCACCATCCTGCCCGTGCTCTCCCAGAGCCAGCCGCTGTTCAAGGGCAACCAGGAGACCATCGAGAAGCTGACCGTGCGCATCCAGGAGGCCGGTACCGAGGTGGTTAAGGCCAAGGCCGGCGCTGGTTCCGCCACCCTGTCGATGGCCTATGCTGGCGCCCGTTTCGCCGGCTCCCTGCTGAAGGGTCTCAACGGCGAGAAGAACGTGATCGAGTGCTCTTACGTGCAGTCCACCGTCACGGAGGCCACCTTCTTCTCCACGCCCCTGGTGCTGGGCAAGAACGGCGTCCAGGAGAACCTCGGCCTGCCCAAGCTCAACGACTACGAGAAGAAGCTGCTGGAGGCCGCCATTCCCGAGCTGAAGAAGAACATCCAGAAGGGCATTGACTTCGCCAACGCCTAAGCGGGACTAGAAAACCATCCCAATCCATCCCCAGAACCGTGTACTTCATTAGCGCCCATTGTGAATTGGCATACTTCCCTTAGCAAATCGTTCGTCCTAAGTCGGCGTGTCCAAAGATTTAACCGATCTACGCTCAGTGTGTGGTGAACAATGAAACCAGTTGATATCTGAAATAAACAAATTGTAAACTTGGATTTGGCAGAGATTTTACTTATTAGTTTAAAAGAATTTAAACAAGCGCAAGGGATATTGATTAAAAAAATATATCAAAATATAAATATCAACTAATGAAAATACCTTAAAAATACTGCCGAGTTATTTAAGTCCAAAAACATATTTCCAACTATGCATTTGGTCCTAAATCCGCTTTAAAAAACTCTGTAAGACCAACAGAGGGAAAATTTTTATTTATTTTACATTGCTCGAAGAAATAAAGCGCTTCTGTTGACTTATTTTTGATAGATGCTTTATACAAACCGAAAATTTCGCCAAGTGTAGTCTACACTGTCGCAAACAACCACACTGCTCACACGCACATGCCCACACAGACGCAATCAATTAAGCTTCGTTAAGATCAATTTAAACTTGCCCGCATGTCATGACGGCCCCCTCCCGACGCCCATGAGCAACCCCTCCGGAATCCCTCCCATGACTTTGGCTCACAATCCAGTGCGTACGCGTTTCGGAATTTCTTTTTTAACTATATAAAGTTGAATATTTTTTAGTGTTATGGCATTCTTATTCGACTTGTCTACATACAAACATATGGGAAACCAATGGAATTTTTTATATATCCTATATTCCTATTTGTTTTGATAATAGATCGCACACTTTTATTGTTTAGCAATTCACACCTTCTTGCGAACAAATAGTATTTGGTCAAATTATGATATCTGAAGATTATTGTAGTATATTTGTATCACTGTTCAACTTGAATTGCAATGGAGAGGCAAGAAAAATACATTTGGTGACCCCGAACTAAATGGTTTTCAGAAATCAAGAAATAATTCCACAATTCATAGGATATTAATATTGGCGATAGATTGGAGTTTTGATTTTCGAAAATTGGATAAATATTGCATTGCAATTAAATCGTATAAAATCTTACTCTTAATCTTAAACTTATTCAACGTGAAATTTTGGAGGTATTCAAGTGCTTTACGTTTTAAGGACCCTTGTAACTCGGTAGTTAAATTAACATAGTGAATCTATTAAAGATTGTCTTAAACCAATTGTGTTCTTTCACAGCTCGCTCCACATTGATTTGCACTTGTTTTACCAATTAAAATGCTTGGCACCAGCTCGAATCAAGTAAATTGGATTACTATTAGACAATTTGATTTGTTCATTAAACCGGAGACGATGCAGAGCAACAGCTTCAATAATTCTAACCTATTTAGCCGCTGAGAGGGGATGGGCGGACACACCCCCGACTTAATTATCGACGATCGAAAGGCAACGATAACAAGACCAAAACAATCAATTGATACAATTCCATTCATGAAATCAAATCGAACTGCAAGCGAAAATCACGGAGCGCGGGAGACAATTTGATAGGCCAGCCGATTCGGATTCTTGGGGTTCCGCCAATTGGCAGAACGCTTTTAATGAAATAATGAGCAGGAATCAATTTCCCGACGCCGGCGCACGTACTGTATGCGCTACAAAATTAAATTGCCGGCCGGCATTTTATATTAAAACAAATTGGTTACCATGGATTTACCAGAACAGACGCTCTGTTTTTGTAATCGACCTTGGGCAATTTTATTTAATTACAAACAATTAAGTCGCCGCACAGGCCGCTCAGCGCCAAAAACGATAAGCGACGCCCACCAGAAAGACAGTGTCAAGTGCAGCCGCAATAATTAATTAATTAATTATTACCGCACAATGCAATCAAGATGTTCATTCATAACTTGGTGCCGAATTTGAATTTGAACTTGCGCCAATCGATAGATCTTCGTAATGTAATAATGTACTGTTTACACTGCCGCACTAAAGCTATTGATTTTAGAAATGACTTATTGCCACTGCAAAATTTAAATCTAATAAATTGTGTAAGTTAATTACTACTACTAATACTACTACTAACTACTACTAGTACTACTACTAGTACTAATATTGTGAAATTTAGTGATCGGACTAAGGATAGACCAAAAACTCAAAGATGCGAAGATCAGCTC